ATTATTATTATTATAAATCAGCACTTTACAAAAGCATCATGTTTCTACAGGTTTATCTTTACAATCCCTCCCTATTTTTATTTTTTCACTAAATAGGTTCCAGTGCTATTCCAGGTCTGGTACTAGAGCTTGTTCTTAAAGTGTTAGTCCAGATGAGTTTGAATAGTTATCAGCAGGACATCAGTCATGAAGCACGGAGTGTGAAGAAAAAAGACAGAAGTTTGTCCAGTGGTTGGGGCCAGATTCAGGCTCGTTCTCCAAAACAACATGCACATTGTTTTTGAGTAAAAGAACACGACATTAGCTGATATTAAACAATACAGCATTTTTGGTTTAGTTTTGTTGCTGTTTTCTCAGCCTGGACTTGTCAGTGTGTACCACAAATCTCACTTAGTGACTGAAGGACATGCATGAAAAAGTGGATGAAAAAGGATGAATGTGTTCTCAACTGAACAAAGGTTTTACTTCCGATTTAAAAAAAGGGAAAATCCCTGGAAGTTTGATGTCAAAGCTGTGAAAAGCAGTAAATACGGTGATTTAAAGGCTTAGAAAATAGTGTTTATATTTCATAGAGAGGTTTTAAGATTGCAGCAGTCTACCTTTGTCTTGGCCTCACACAAACTAGTCATTAGCTTGTCAGTCCTGTCAGAAACTTCATCTCTTCAAACTGAGGTTAGACAGGCGGTCAAGCCCGAAAAGACAACAGAAGGTCACCTCCACGTGCACCCACTGGACCCACCATCTCCAGGGGGGACCATCAAGGTCAGGTGCGATGCATRYCAGGCAGCAGGCGAGGGTGGGTTCCTGGCCGTGCCATTTTATGGTGGCGTAGACTGGCTCCAGGGATGTGGAACGTCACCTCTCTTGTGGGTTTGGTGTACATTACACTTTAGTCATTCACCARTTCATKCACACATTCACACACTGATGATGGTTGTCTTCATTTTTCACCTCATTTAAGTGAAAAAAAATTCTATGTGTTTCTGAACTGATGACACAACATGTACACAAAAATGTGGAGGTAAACCCTATRGCGACACTCATAATCCTTTGCAAAATGGCTGCCAAAAATCTCACCTAGTGCCATCAGTGGCCATTTGAGTGTTTTCTCTAATTCAGAGCTCAGATGTGTTATTTATTATCACTGCCACCAAAGTAAAGTTGGAGTTACAGKTTTTTTGTTCATGTCTATGTGTAATTTTGTGAAACACCACACGGATCTGACCCTGATCGACTGCAGGAACTTTTACYTGCTGCTGTATTTTTATTGCAGAAGTTGTTTGAATGCCTGAGCACCACAATGAAATGAAAGCTTCAAAATTTGATTGGACAGAAGAACAGCTGGCATTTGATTTCACCCGATTACGTGGAGCATCAAGAAAACAAATAAATGATCAACGGCAGATTAAACTTGATTACAAAGATCTCAAAGATGATTTTTCATCATGTGGAAAAACACGAGGCATCTGTAAAACCTCAGCTGGATGTTAAGACAGAAACATCCTGAGACATTAAAGAGCCTTCAGATGAACTGCCTCTGACTGAGGGAGACTTGTCAGCCTCCAGGCTGCTCTGCCTTACATAGAATTATTTAGTGATGGATCTGAGCTGCATGCTGTCRCTGCTGGAGGGGTGAGTTTGTCTATAAAAATATTCAGAACCCAGAGATGGGATTTGTCCTCAGAACATCTTGTACAACCCCTGGCAAAAAGTATGGAATCACCAGACTTGGATGAGCACTCATTCAGACATTTCATTCTGTAAAACAAACTCAGATCAAAAACATGA